GCTGCGCCTCTTCCCCCCCCACAGGGCGTGCGGGCCCAGCGCGACCCCGGGGCTCTCCGGCGGCATGTGTGCTCTTCGGACAGGACTCTCGGGGAAGTTAGAGCTCAGAAGTAGTGTGGCAACAGCTTGGTTGTTGTGGTTCCGTTGTTGGTGCTGGGGGAAGCTTGTGCTTTCCATATCCTCAAATGGCAGCTGAGCGTAGTGGCAGTATGTTGCAGGGTGTCAGCTTTGACCGGTTCCCCTAGCGCTGCAGTTACCCGGATACAAAACCGGAGTGAGACAGAGATGAATGATACTCCTCAAGTGAGAGGCCTGACGTAATGAGTTGTCTATCGGAAGGCACAGTGCATAGTGCAACTTAGAGTGTCTTAGACTTCAGACACCTTGACTTCGGACCAAAGCAGGTCTTTTTCTGGCAGAAACGTGCTTTGCCTTGCCCTTCAGAGGAGAGATGTTTATAAGAGACTCAGATTAGTTTGTGCTCATTTAAGTTGTTGCTGTCACAGACCTACCCTATAAAGAAGTTCCAGTTGTGTCTTGCTCAGATGACAAATTTCCTTGTATGATTTCATTGTTCAAGGAACTATTGTGATTAGGAAATAGCCGGTTCACTGTGCAGTTCTGCAAGTGTCAACATGAATTAAAGGGGTAGGACTGCGATGCAAGAGGGTAGGAGGATAGCAATTGTGATATAACCTTTATTAAATAAATGTACACAGTGATATGTTTGTTGGTCCTTCTCCTTTGTTCTCAATTCTTTGGTTTCCTGATTGGCTTTGTCTGTACCTCAGTAATCCTAGCAAATACTAAGCCTGTACTAATTCCTGTCAATAGAAAAGATAGGCCATTAATAATATTTTTCAAGCAAAAGCTGCAGTATGAGCTCCAATCTTAATAAACACCAAAGGTCTTTGTGTGAGAATGGCTTTGCCTTGACTTTCAGTGGTTTTATCATTTCAGTGATCTAAATATGACATGTAAACATACAGGAAGACTGGTTTTATTATTTTGCTTCTCTCCATAGTACTTGGTTTGTATGAGCTTAGCATTCATTTCTGTTGTCTTAGTTTTTTGCAAAATCTGACAACAGCATTTAATTCTAAATTAACTGTTTCAGTGTTCAGAGACTGTAGGTAAGCATTTTATCTCTGGTATTCTGATGTCTCTGATCCCTGACCACATATCTAGTGGAAGGACTAAGCAATCAGAAGTATGCTAAATTCAAGAATGTTACTTGAGGTGAGTGCTATGAGTGCAACCATTTTTGTCTGAGTGCAGTATTTAAGTATTTTTGTAAAATCTGGTTTGACTTACACAGAGCTTGCACAGCTGGTTGTTGCACCTGGGTGTGTTGAGATAATGTTTGTGGAAATACAGAGGTATGTCTAACTAAACTCTTAGAAAATTGAGAAAACCCACCAGATTTCTGTGAAAAGTTTTTAGTGATTTTGTAAGAACCCCTCTAGGAACTGTGTAGTAGAGGCAGAGATAGGATTTAGTACTAATTGGTGCTTTCATTCATCAATCTCATCTACCTCCCTTTACCATTCTGTATTTGATGTTTATAATTTGTGTTTCTTCAACAAGTAAGAGCATTCATCGGGTCATGTCTGATTCAGTACAAGTCTTCCCTTATTCCATTGGCTTATGTGATGTATTTTATTAGTAACATACTTGGGGAAAGAAAAAAAATAGTCTGTCATCTTGTCTTCAGACCAGCTGATGCATCAGATCTGGTTGTATTTCTATGCTTGTAGATGTCATTATCATACTATGCACAAATTTGCTTAAAACTCTCAGTTATATCTTCAGTGAGACTGAGTTAATAGGCAAATGATTGCTTAGAGTTGTGATGGGATGGTACTAACTCTGAAAGGCACTGGTGTTCATGGGTTAGGCACTGGTGTTAGTTTGTTGTTTTGTGTATGTTAGCACAAGTGTCATGCCATAAATAGCACAGGAGCTAGTTATGATCCAGGTTAAGGCTAGCTGTCTCTCCTGTTGTGGCTTAGTTTCAACCCAGGTAAGTTCTTTATTTATTTGGGTGGGGTTGCTTTGCTTGATTTGTTTTGGTATGTAATTCATAGTTGCTCGAGTTTTGTTGAGCTTTAATGGTTTTCCTTTCATTTCTGCCTTTGAAAGAGTTCGAGTTTGTTTGTTTGCTTGGTTTTAGTGTTTCTTGATGTTTAATATTAATATTGATTATGTTAATAACCACTTTTAAATATATCTTTCTGTTGGTTACTGGAAATAAATTCTTTGTGATGATTGGCTTCACAGTGCTGCATAAAAGGCTGTAATTGAATATAGTACAGGGTTAGGCACAGAGTTGGATGGTTTTGGGTGTAAATAATTCTAGAGTAAGTGCCTTCAACCTGATGATTTTGTGCAGAAGTGAAGACAAGTCTCCTGATTCATTCTAAATAATGAGCTTAAACATCTTAGAAGTTAAAAAGATCACCTCCAATCTTGTTTTTTTAATACAGTCATTTCACTGGACTGCTCTGTCTATAAATGTCTTTCTGTACAATACACATTTTTTTATGAACTTCAAACTTCTAGCATATCCTACTTCTCTACTAAGCATTCTAACAGCCCCATTCTAAGTCATAGCCTATATTGTATAACTCAGAGTATGCATTGAGTTTGAAAAGGAAATTAGTTATGTTTTCTAATTTTAGATGACTGTTACTTAAGTTTTCAAACAGAAATTCAGAGTTCTCCTAAAGTGATAACTTGATCCAATGATTGGATAAATCGGTCTATTTAGTAAATCTTACTAATGTGTAATCCACTTCACAGTAAAAGCCATGTTTGAAATATATAAACTTGAAATATTTCCTTAGTCACACTTTTAAAATTTATAATTTCCTTTCAAGACTTACCAGAAACATCTAAATATCTATGTAATGAAATTTTCTGTCAGTGGAGTGAGTAAATGTATGTAAATTACTAACTTGGCACAAGAAATGCAGCTGCATCTTCATCCAAGTCAGAAGTAAAAAACACTTGATGGCTTCATTATTTTCAGGAGCACAAATTAATCCATAGAATTTGGCAATTTGTGGTTTCTGCCTGAGAGTCAGGTGTTTGGTGCTATATTTGTATGGTAATATTCTCTATTCCCAGCACTTTAAGGAAGCATCAAAATTATTTATAATTGCTTAGAGGACTAAGTTGCAGTGTATTTCAGATTATGGGTAAACCGCTAGATACTTTTCTTGTCACAAGTTTTTGAAGGTGTGAATAATATTCTATATTCTAATATTCTGTAAGTACATCCTCAACAGTCTTAAATATATTCCTCTTGCTGATGAATGTAGCCAGATCTACAGCAAAGACATTTAAGTTTGTCCACTGACTTTAGAGACCAGGCAACTAGAATGCAGTAGGGAAAGGAGGAAGTGGTTGGGATAAAGCGGTGAGTAAACAGTCTTGGAGCTGCTTTTCTTACTGTTGCAGTGTGACCAGTCATACTAATAAGCCTTCCTGGAAATGGGTGGTGTATTTTAATCTCCAGGTTTCTTGACTGTCCATGTAAAAGTGCTGTTCTGAAGACAGAATAATTTCCTTTCTATGTATGAAAGCAGCCACGTTCAGCAATGGGTGATGGAAGTAAGTTAAAATGCATGGGGATGAGGAAGATCCTGGCCATCACCTGAGAGGTTTGAAGGAGAGATTACTGCTTGTTGCTGCATTGCTTCCACAGCATTGTAGAAATGTGTTGTAGGTTGGGGTTTTTTGGGGTGTTTTTTTTAAGTTGAGGTGGTTTTCCTTTCTGTATTTTCCTGTTGGGTTTATGTTTGTTCTCCAGCTGTGAGCTGCTGTAGCTTCAGGCCTTGGAAACACTTTCTGCTGAGAGTCCACTGCACTGTTGAAATTCTGGTTTTGAAACTTACTTAAAGGGAGGGTGGTAGATGGTATGGAAAACTGAGCTTTGCTTTCAGTATCAACTACTTGTAGAAACTCTCATAACTTCTGATTATACTGGCCTTCCTCTAGTCCAGATGGAGCTGCTTTGACATTGCCAGGGCTTTTCTATATGCTGGTTGTGCAGAATTTCCCCTTTTCTATACTCATCACTGTCTGCTGTAGATTTGAGTGATGTAGTTGCTGATCAAGTAGGGTTGTTTTGCGTATCTTATTTGAGTGAGGCATGAAATCTGTGGCAAAAATTATCAATATACAGGTAAATTCTGTGGTTTTTAGGGTTGCATAAATAATGTACAAATTGTGTTGCTTTGTCTAGTTAGGGATAGAAAGAGGGTTGCAGGACAGCAGAGACCCAGCTGTAAGTAGGGCGTTTGTCAGACCATGCATTAATCTGGCATTCTGGTTAGGGAAATAGGCAGAGAGGATTCTCATCCCTCCTGCTTCAATGCAGATGCACTTTTACTGACTCTTTGTTAATTTTCTCACAAAGTAGGTAGAATACTAAAAGATTGTCAAAAAATTTTTTGCCTGTGAGGCAGTTAAATAATTCAGCACATGCTAATAACTCACGTTAGCCTGCAATGAACTTCAGTCAGTGAATATCACTGAAGTGTTTTGCTAAAAGCTGCACTTAAATTAAGTTTATGAATAAGCCTGTTGTTTACTTCTATACAAGATACAATTTTCTGATTAAAATTGGCTGAGAACTGTTCTCTTGTTGGCAGCCTAAGCAGCATATCCGAGAGTGCGTCCTCAGCTAAACTCCTTTGTACAGGTCAGCTCTGCCCCAGCTAGCTTTTTGGCTTTGTTTACACCTATAAAGCAAGCTCTTGACTGTGTGGCAGTTGATGGGTGTTTCTGAGCAGACCATTATTTTCTTAATCTGATGACAACCAAATCCAAACTATGCTGTATTATGTCTTTTGAATTAGAAGGGAGTATTGGCCAGAGGGAAAACTGAATGACCTGTGGAATTCAACTTCATTTTTACCTTTCGGTTTCTTTAAGAAATTGGCAGAGAACAGGATTTGGAGTGAATTGGTTATGAGAGAGTAGAGACTCTGACTCCCGTTCCACTCATACAGTTCTGATTCACTCCTGTAGCTCAGTCCATCCTGTGCACTGAACTGGGCAAGAGACCCTGTGGAAAGTATAGCTGGTGTTATGCATAGTTAGAGTGTCGTGCATGTGTGCTGGCTGGGTTTTATTTCCTAACTTGATAAGGTTCCTTCCATTAATTTGTTTCATCAAAAATAAATTCCACTCCCTCCCCGACCACTGGATCTATAGCAATAATAACTATAATACAGTTATTCTGAAAACATTTTACACTTGATGTAGTGTGCTAATTGGAAAAAAATCTGGTACTAGAGATTTGCCATTTAATGTTTCTGCATTGGGAGCCAATGTTTAGATTGATCTGAATACCAAGTATACAGTTAGGATTTGTAGACTGAATTGTTTCAAGTGTATTAAGCAAGTCTTAATTATGGAAGTAAAATTTCAAGATCAGATTTATAAACTTTTTTCATACACTTGAATATGTAAAGAGAGGAGTTTGTAGAAGTGCTTGTTACTGGCTTATAAGTGTTCCTGTTGAAGCTGGACACTTTAGGGAGAACTGGGTACTGAATAGTTTCAGAAATCCCACAAACTAAGCAATAGTAAGCTGCTTCCATTCTAGTGTGTGTTGAAACCTCAGTGTCTGTGTTTAAAAGTGACTTTGCATTTAGATGCTGAAGCAAAGCTGAATTTATAATAGCCTGTGGTAGAATTGAGATAATACTAGGAGTGATTCAGGCACTACAGTTGTCACCTGATACGCAGAACGGCCTGCATATATATACCTGTTTCCTTTCTGCATCTGCTAATAGATTATGTGTGTGTGAAGACTGAGGAAGAGGATGAAGCAGTGATTATGGGCCATGGAGACAATGGACTATCCACACAAAGCTTCATGCCAGTGCAACAGAACTCTGAAGCAAACAGTGCTGTTCACCACATGAGTCAACTTGCCTATGGTAATTCCTGTTCATTTTTATTGTGATCTGATAGTTAATGGTGAGATTTAATTGTACATGTTCTGTGCTTTTGGATTCAGTGCTTTTTATATTACCCGTATCTTTAAAACACATTTTATTAGAAAGCTACTTTATAGAAATTGCTTGGCAGTGCCTTTAAAGAGAAGTGCCTTTTAGTCATTACTTTCAAGGTCCTTATAAATGGCAAGCCTGCTAAAATATTACATTATAAAAAGTATACCTAGGAATCAATTAGGAAGCAGTTTGGAAAATAAATGCATTGAAGTAACCTAGCCTAAAAAATTAGGTTTTTAGATAATCTATCCACTGTAACTTAGTACTGGAGATGCTGATGTGTAATGATAGCGAGATGGTTGTTTAAGGTGATAAATTGTTAGAGGTAAGTAGCCACTCTGATTGTCTCTAATTAACTGTATTTATTTTAACATGCAAGATCAAAGTCTCTCAAGAAATCTTATCTGGTGCTTCATTGGCCCAGACAAAAATTCTTCACATCTATTATGAGCATTTATTAAGTCCTGTAGCAGTATTATCAAGTCAGTGAGGAAAATTACTGTAACTAAGTGAAGGTACATTCTAGATTGGGGGGCTTTTGTGTTTTTCAAATTTAGCCAGTTAACTCTGTGGCGTATCCCATCAGTGTTTGTCTTCACAGACATAAGTTACATCTGTTTCCAAGTGTTGTTGGGTGCTTCTGAGAACCTTTAGTCATTTTGGACTTCTAATTGACAGTAGAGTGTTCTGTAGTTTTCTGTATGTTTATGTCTAAAATTTGGGAGTGGAGGATGGTTTGAATGACTTACTTGGGGTTTTACTCCATTTCTGAAAGTAAACAAACAAACAACCCCACCTAAATTAATATTTCTGCCCAAGAAACTGTCAGAAACAGTTGCTGACCTTGGTTATAGGACATGAGTAATTATTTCATTATTAACAAATTAATCATGGTGAGAGCAGTTGTTTATTAGAAGATAAAATATAGTTTTCTTAACTTTGGATGTATTACCATTAGATATTGTCTGGTTAAAATCAAGTATAATGAGACATATGAGTGAAACACACCACAGGTTTATCTCAAATGTAACTGCTGAACTTTGTACTGAAATTCTCTCTGATTGGTTTTATTCACCACTATCTTAGACCAGTATCTTGTAGAGCAGTGCCTTTCCCTCAGATGTCACTCTCTGTCCAAACAAGTTTCTTCTACTTTTGTTTTGTATCTTCTTGCCTACTATAAGAATCTGTCAGAGCAAGCTCAGTATCATGCAAATAGAGATCTAGGTCTTTATTTTTCCCTGCATGCTGCAGAACACCTTTTATTTTAATTTTTTCTTAGCCATTTATTCTTACAAAGTCAGTGTTACATTTACTGGTGCTTTTTTTTAATATTATTATGTTTGAAAAAAACAATGTTAAATTGAATTTATAATTTCTGATCTAAATTAATTGGATAAATAACTGATAATACGATGGTAAACGAATTTCAAATAATCAAGCAGTCTGAAAGTTAAAAAAAAAAGGTTGACTGTGCCTGTTTTTACTGTAGTGAAACGTTTAATGCAGTGGGAAACTTTGATATGCTTTGTTTCCTTTTCACTTTTCCAGGAAGTGAAGGCTTGCCAGTGCTTAGTGATCAAACATCCTCACCAATGAGCCATTCTGCAATGATGCAGAGAGGAAATGGTCACAGCCCTGTAAAAACGGATTTTGTGTTTTTGCGTAATAAAAGGAAACGACTTTCTCCTGCTGTAGTGGAACACAATGTGGTACGTTTCACCAAACAACAGCCCTTTTTCAGTGTTACATGGTATATCATTTTTCTTTCACTGTTGTGTGCTGATTTGATGACATCCCACTGAAGATGGGTAGGGATATCTATGCATGGATGCTTTTGTCAAGTCTTCAGCCTCCTACTCTGCAGTCTGTCCGTACAGCCAGGGTTGCCCCATGCCAGATGCAGAATCCAGCACTGTCCATGTTAAACTTCATACAGTTGGTGGTTGCCCAGCCTCTGATTTGTTCAGATCTCTGTGTGGGGCCTCTCCACCTTCAAGGCAGTCAACAGCTTCTCCCAACTTAGTGTCAGAAAATTTAGTCTCCCTTCCAGTCCTGTGTCCATGTCATCTGTGAAGATGTTGAGAAGCACAGGGCCCAGGATGGAGCCCTGCAGAGCCCCAGGAGGTACAGGTCCCCAGTCCGATGTCACCCCAGTCACTATAACCCTTTGTGCCTGTTATGAGCCAGTTACTCATGATGTGTTTATCCAGCTGTGTGCTGGACAATTTTGTCCAGAGGATCCTGTGAGAGACAGTATCAAAAGCTTTACTGAAATCCAAACAGATTGCATCAGCTGACTTCCAAACTGACTTGCATCAACTTGATCAGCTAGGTGGGTCATCTTGTGAAAAAAGAAAATTAACTTTAACAAGGAGGACTTTACCCTTCTGAAGCCATGCTGTGACTCATGACTTGGTTGTCCTTCAGGTGTTTTTCAGTAACCCCCAGAATAATCTTCACAATTTTACCAGTCACTGAATTCTGCCTGTTGTAAACAAAACAGAAGTATCACCTACTCCCCCCTCCACATCAGCCTTCCTTTCTAAAGTAAAACCTGATCAGTAAAAAAACCAAAATTTAAAGGAAAACACCACTGGCAGACACATTAAATCTGTGGTGTGTGGTGGATGGGATTGGCATCCATCCAGTAAAAGGAAAATGTCAGGATTGTCCAGGTGGTGGCACCATTCTTCCTGGTTAAAAGCAGTGAGAAAATTGCCTCATTTAGAAATTTTTTACAGCTTGTGCTTTCAGTTATAGCCACTGAAGTGTCATAATTTGGACTCAGAGGTATTTTCCAATCTAAGTGATTCTGTAATTGCATAAGCTTGGCTGTATAGTACATACAGTTAGATGAGGAAGTTGTGCCTCAGAATAAATAAATCAAAATGCACGTTATTTTATATATATATATATCTCCTGCTCCTGTACCTTCTTCAAGTAAAATTACTTGAAGAAACCAGATGTCTGAGACTGTGTTATAGCAAACCTATAGGTCAGGCTGGTAAGGAAGCCTTGTCTGACTGTGAAAGTAGAGTATGTAGGGAGTCAGGCAGGGCACCTGAATTTGCACTACCCACTGCAGAGGGGCTTCAGTCCCAGCAATTACAGTCTCTGGGTCACCACCAGAGCATCTCCTGAGTGGTCAGACAGGAAAGTTTCCTCAACACACCAGTACATAAATAAGATGACTGTGCTAAGTCTTGATTTCTTGGGCCCTCTTGTAGCCAAGGGAGGGAATTACAGCTACAACCAAAAGTGTCCAGGTTGGATTCCTAGGAGAATTCTTTAACTTTTCCAAACATTAAATGTTAATTATGTTATTTCCCAGATAAGAACCAGGGAAGAAGAATATGAAGATAGTGACAGTGTTGTTTATGAGTATGAACCAGACTATGAATGTGTAAGTGAATTTTCTTTTGTTTGACTTTGAAAAGCTGCTTTGAGGATGCATGTTTTGGGGTAGGCTGAAGTAACATGAGAGATTGAAGTGGGGATTTAGTTGCTTAATGTGATATCCTAAGTCCTTGTGTATTATGCTATATATGCTAGTCCTTGTACCTTACGTTATTTTTTTTTCTTTTTTATATTTGATTATTATTTTAATTAAAAAGGAGAGCATTTTATCTGAAGCTTCTTATACTGGATATCAGCAGAATCCACTTATGGAGGTCCTCAGTTATTGCCAGGTATTTTTTTTTTCTTTTATATCTGAAATGGTGTTTAAGCAATTTGAGTTAAACTTCAGGAAGACTTGTATTATAAACTTGACAACCAGTTGTGATCCTTTCCAATTGTTTGCTTGTTAATTGCCCACATAACTACAATATTTTAAAAGTAAAACTAATCTCCTTCATATTCTCTGAACTTTTCACAAGAATAACTTTTAAATATTAAGCTTTAATACAAAATGTAAAGTTTAGCAATTGGGAGGAGCTTCACAGTATTGGGAAGGATATGGCAGTGATACACACCCAGCTACTGAAAGTACATGTTGCTTGCCGGAGGTGTGCCAAAAATCCTGCTAGTGTTGGTTTTGTGAGGTCTTTCCTTTTGATTTCTGAAGTAACTGGCAAAATTGAAAATAACTGCACTAAAAATTAAAAGCATCTCATACTAATTCAGGTAAGCACTTGTGTGACTGGAGTCATTCAGACCATGCTTAATGGAAGTCAGTTTGTAAGTGGTTTGTAGCCAAGTGTTAATGTCTTGTAAGTCTCCTTAAGCATTCAGCAGTGCTGTGGAAGGAAGTTGGCTAAGTTTTAGTGTGGGAGTTTTAATTGGAGTTTCTTGGTTTCTTCAGGATGAGGTTGGGTTCTTGTGAAACACTACTGTTTTCAGTCTTTTATTTGTTGACAGGCCATGTATGATGCCATTCAGAAGCTGGATAAGAAGTTTGACCTCCTTCATCGTAAGGTCTCAGAAATGCAGCATACTCGTATAAAGCCATTGTTGCTCAAACCCGTGAGTATTAAAGATCTAAGACATTTATTTTTGCTTTAATTCTCTCATTTCCTGTCATGCTTATTTTAAAAGTTCCAATCCTTTCACTAAGATTAAAAAGAGTAGAAAAATGGTAGGCTTAGAATCTATTTCAATTCAATTACTTGAGATTCCTGATTATGTGCCAGCTTCAGTTTCCTGTGTTATTGACTTGTGGCCACAGATTGGCAGTGACCCCCATCAAATTCAGGATGCTGTGATAGATGCTGTAAAATTCTATTTTTATTGGCATGAACAGAAGTGAATTATGTAGGTGCATTTTAAACTTTAGTATATTGCTGTTTCATCTTTGCAACATGTGATGTGTTGTCTCATTGGTTTCTGCAGTTAGAAGAGAGTTTAAGCATCAGTCAGGTTGGTTCAATTGGCTTATTGAACTTTAGATCTCAGCAGTATGTTGTCATATCCATTACAGTATAAATTTTATTATTTTTAAATGGAAAATACTTTTTAAACGTTTTTGATGTTTGTTATGGAGTACACAGTATTAATTTTGTTCCTAAATGGTCAGTCTACTGTTAACTAAGGAGACACAATTTTAGTACTTGTAACAATGATCTTTAAAAGAAAAGCATAACAGATGATTTTTGAAAAAGGATGTAAAATCCATAATGACTTTTTTGTCATCAACACTACAAAGCTTTTAATGTGGCAGAGATGATTCTGCCATCAGGAGATGTCAAGACAGCAGTAAGGCCATTTACTTTAAGGGTGGATGGAGCTGGATTTCTCACACTTGTCAGTTACCAGTAGGGTACTAGGTTTTATTTGGTATGTATTTTTATTGTCAGCTCCAAGCTTGTGGTGTCCACACATCCAAAAACATTAGTTTCAGGTAATAAACTTGTCACTTACAAATGAACCATGTAAGACCTCTGTGCTCTTACCCTCCTCTCTGAGCTTCTTTAATGTTTGGATTTTTGGGATAAAAGTGACCTGCACTGCTTTTTTTCTTTTGCTTTTGCTTTCTGAAGGGCTTTATCCCTATAAAGATTAAGATGCAACCTGCCAGCTATTTTCTTGAGTTCTGCCATTTAAAACCATCAGAAATGCTGATTGTTTTTCTTTATAGTACCACACTTATGAAAGGCTAATGGAATGGTTTGGAGGAAAGGTACTTATTTTTATTAGATGAATTCCAAAAGCTGGAGAAACTGACAGACTTTCAAATGCATAAGACTTCTTTAATGTCATAGATTTTTTTTTTAAGGTTACAAGGGTGAAATATAATGAGATGTCTCTAAATAAACACACAAAACCACCAAAATTAAACACAATAAGAAAAACAAATCCACATGTGTCATCTACATTTGGTGGCTCCTGCTCAGTGACTTGTGATTTGAACTAGAATGCTTGCTGCATGAGTTTTAATAAAAGTAACTGAAGTGATGGAAAACATAGCCCATCTCTCAGTTTGTCCATCTCAGTCTCTTCAGAATCTTCAGATTCAGATTCAGATGAGATCTGAATGTTTGATGTTTTCAGCTAACAAGTAAAGAAGGAAGAGAAAGTGGGTTTTTTTCTTGTTTGAAGTGAACTAGCATGGCACTGGACACATTCCTTGAAAATTCATCAGCCAATGACTGAATCAATGACTGAAAATTTCTAAATTTTATTTTACCTATTTACTTTTTTATAGAGGTCTAGAAAGTAATTTTGCCACCACCCCACATGGTAAAAATCTGAGAAGCGTTGAAGCTGACCATATAAACTCTTAGTGTTGCAAATACAAATAAGAACAGAAGATAGTATAGGGTAGGCTAAAACGTGGTAGCTCTAAGTTAATGACAGAGACTACCTCAAGGAAGAGTATGCTACCAATAGCATAATTACTAAAATCTAGTTTTCCTGGTTTGCTAAAAAAAAACCCAAAAACCTCCAAGATTATCAGCTATGTCAAATTTAACCTTTTAATTGTTTTCTGAATTATGTTTGCAGAAACCAGTTGGATTTACATACAGAAGTTCCAGTCATTTGCCTTCAGGAAAAATAAGAGTACAAAAACACATGGAAAGGGATTTAAGTCTTCATGTTTCTTCATCAGGCCAGGGAAGGCCTAACCCACTGGTAAAGGTGGCTTTACAGAATGGCCACATTCAAGTCAATTCCGAAGTAAATCATGCCCCACAGAGTTTTCACCTTCAATCTCAGCAGCCTGTTGGAAGGCAGAGCCCACCACTCCCCACTATAGTTTCTACACATTCATTGCATTCATCATACGCTGCAACTAATGGGATGCCTGACCTTTCACCACAATCAAATCTTGCACCCAGTATTGTGGAAAGTACTGTCAACGTTGCATCTTCACCTGTGGCCTCACCATCGATACCAGCACCATCTGAGCCCAGCCAGGAAAACAGTGCTGTGGAGTTGAACTGCAAAAATGCATCTGAGGATGTGAATATTAGTGAGGAGCTACCATCTTCTTCAGTCTTCATCAATCCTAGCTTTGGTAAGTTTCTTTGTGATAAATACTCAGAAACAAAGGCTAAAAAAATGGCTGCCACAAGCCTTTGATTTACAGTAGGTGCTTTGGGTTCTTCTAACTCTAGGCTCTCTTTTTCTCTCTTAATGTAACCTTTTTTATTCTGTGTATAATTCACAAGTAATATGTGCATGCTATCCATGTGTTGGAGGAGCAAAAGAGATTTCCACTAAAGCTAAGTGAGGCATATGCCTGTATGCATGTTGTAAGAAAGCAGCCTACCTGATCTATGTGAAGGAAATATCTGTTTTCTTCTTTTATGGGATTTTATCCTTGGAACATCCTTTCTATACTCAAACCCTCCAGTGTTTTGTTTTTTTCAAAATACTTCATTCCAAGGAAAAACATGAATCCTATATATAGATCATTGCATTAAATAATCTATAATATACACATACAAAAAATGATCAATAAAGATACACATATAAAATAGCACCATGTATTAAAAACTAATGCCTTTCTAAAGTGTAAATGCCCTGAGTTGTGTGTAAGGCCGAGCTATGACTTCTGTGATTTTGGCCTAAGAAATAAATTTGTACAGCTGAAGAGCTGCATGAGTAGTAGGTGAAATATTCAGATATATGTCTAAAAATTTATAACTTTATTGTTTTATGCTTATGATTTAGCAGTCCTGTGAATGGATATGCCAGTCTTTGTGAGTCAATGTCTTGAAAACATACCTTGTATCTGCACATATGCCAAATAGTACAATGTGAATATTGTAGACCACTGGGTGTCTAATGTGAGGGTTGATCAGACCATAAGCATCAACTGAAAACCATGGGAGTCCGGTCTGTAAGCCTTCACTAAAATTAGGGTGAGCAGAATTCCACCATTGTTGCCCCCTGGGAATCAACATGTAGATAGTTTTATCTTTATAAGGTCTGGTACTGGAAAGTTCTCTGTTCCCCTTTTAGTTATTGGTTTAAAATTACTGCAGTAATTCAAATATTCCTAACCCTTGTTCCTCTTTAGACCCTCACCCTCAGATTCTGCCTCCAACCTACCCTTTGTACACTTTGTATCCACCCTGGTCCTGGCTTTTGGAGTATCTCCATACCACTGTTTGGATTATCTTGTTTGTTGTTTTTACCATTTATTGAAGGTATTTCTGTTCAAGGTTACTCCATTGAGCCCATCCTTTTATTCTATCACCATGTCACTCTTGACAGATGCAGTCCTGAGGTGGCAGCAGGCCGAGCTATCACAGGAGCAGGCTGGGCTGCCACAGTCTAATGCATTTTCTTGAGTGTTTTGTTTTCAGTTAGTTATGCTGGTTGTTAATGTGAATCAAAAAGATATTTCTGTTACCATTCCAATTTAAGTTGCTTTTGTAAGAGCAAAGATAAGTACTAATAAATAATAGAATTAACTGTTGTAAAGAACATACTCTGAGAGTCAAGAGTTTGAAAAAATGTTCTGTTTTTAACAACTCACTTGGGATTTTAAATTTTTTTTGCTTTGAATGTTTTCATTTTACAAAAGAGTTTGTTGGTGATCCAGCAAGAAATGTGAAAGTTCTTGGAAACCACTTGGTGAAGGCTCGGCAAAAGACTAAACCCAAGTATGCAGCGCGCCACTTGGTTCGTGTCTTGTTCCCCAAGAAAACTTTATTGTGCAGCATTATGGGAGCAAGTGCACGAGGGCGTAGGACATTGGATCCAAACAAAATTGCTGCAATAAGAGGTATGTTACTTTTCAAAATGCACAGATTTACTTTCATACTTAACAAAGTTTTGAACTTAAAAGGAGTCCTTTTCTGTATGTTTCTGGCTAATCATTGTCTGGCAACTGGTAAGGAGATAAATGCCATAGTGGATGTGCTCCATTCTACAGTATCTTTTTGTTTTCAAAGTCCTGCTTTATAATTCTCAATGTTCATTTTTCTTCAATTTGAATAAAACTATTCAAATTTCTTCTAGTTTTATTTGCATCTTGTTCGTCAGTCATGCTTGCTGTCTCTAAATCTTTAATTGCAGTTTATTTTGTGTTTGTGCGTGCCATGGATTTGTCAGGTGGTTTTTTTGTTTGGTTGATTTGGGTTAGTTTGTGGCCATGATATACTTGAGACAAACATTAACTGGTGTTTTTGAAATACTCTTATGTTCAGTTCTCTTGAGTGAGAAGTAGTGAAGGTGGAAGGGACTTTTTTTAATAAATGTGGTTTTCACAGATCCCATGGCACATATGTGTTAAAGGGTTAAAATTGTGTGTGAGATTTATATAAGCCATGGGAAATAGTTGCAGCAACAGTATTAGCCTGTCTCTGTTCTTTTGTGGGGGATGGTGATGGTGTTGGTTTTGGGGGTTTTTAAAAGTTAGTACAGTAAAGCACACATTTCCCCTAATTCTACCAGGAAATGTTTAATATAATAAATATAATATAATTATTAATATTAACATAATAAATGTTTAATATAATAAAAACATTATTCACAACATCTCAAAAAGTATCACAGAACATCTTGAATTCATAGTGCGGAGAGCAGTAAACATGAAGCATTAGTTAGCTTTCTCTAAGTTAGGGTACTGCTAAATACTGGGCTTTGTCATGAAGCTTCAAACATTTTCTGTATTTTATATGCAGAGTTTCTTGCAACTAATTTTCCAACCTGTGATTTGAGTGAGCATGGAAAAGACTGGAAAACCTGTATCACAAATGTCAATTCTATGATCCGCTGTTTGCGCTCTGAAACCAAAGCAAAGTCAACAAGTTCTCCTAAGGTGATGATTTATTATGTACTAAGTTTGCACTTTTTTTCTCAGATTAATTATTTGACCTCCTCATGGTACAAGTGCTGTATTGGAAATTCCTTGGATTCTGCTTCTGTGTTGCTCAGCACAGGCATGCTGACTGCAGCACTGGTTCCAGGTGGGGAATACTGGAATATGCCATTTTCTGCTCTGCTTCTTCCCACCCGTGTCCAGAGTTCAGTTATGCATAGGATACTAAAAGGAAAGCACTGCAAATGTTGCCCAGAAGTAGTGTCAAATCTGATTGAGAGTTTAAACAAGTAGCTCTTAGCACCTCTTTTTGCAGGCTTTTTTTTTTTTCATATATATTCAGCCATGCATTTCCATTTTATATTTACTGAAACATCTCTCCCAAAACACCTCCAACTACTTCAGAAATGCTCTGTGCACATATTTGAATAATTATTAACTTTTCCACCTCTGGTTTTCATGATAGAAATTCAGGAGTAATTATATTGCAAAGATCTGAAATCTAGTTTAATCTAAATGTGAAGTAAACTGGAACACTGAAAACCTGGTAGGCTTCTCTCAGTGCATGTACTAACCTCATTAAATGTTTCAGGAGACAACTGAGGAGAAAGAAGTGTCTGATGCTCCTGATACATCTCATTGTTTAGATTTAAATTATAATGAAGATAGTGGAGAAAATTCTCAAAACTCTCAGAAAATGACTGGCTCCACAACTGACACATTGCAGAATTCAGGATTGGATACGTTTCCAGAAGCTTTCCAAACATCTTCAGTCAGGAAACAACAGTCTTTGGAACCTATGGGTAAACAAAGAAATTTTTGTCTTCTAAAATTGCTTGTTACATTTTAAATGGTCAAGGAGAGGCAAAAGGTGGTACTGTAAGTATAACTGCATAGTAAAGGGATTCTCTGAACTGTGTGAGCCTTCTTTTTCTCCTAAGGCAGACATTTGGTGTATACATAGTAAGTCTTTTTGGGAATGAAGAAGAGCATTATATGTGCCTAGCAAAAATATAAGTTTGCATCTACCAGTGTTCCATAATGCGTATCCGCTGTGACATTGGGAACAGTTACTCTGTTCAGTTGCCCTGGCTTTTTTATTTGGTAGATATTCTGCCTTAAAAAAGTAAGCTAGCCCAGAATATCTATTGAATCATATTGCAATTTCAAAAGAAAAAGCACACCTTTCTGCAAAACTGACTCTTTAGGACAATAAAAATCTTAAAGCAGCCTTTATATCTTCACTTTTTTTAATGGAAGTGTTCAATATACAAATGCATTTGGAACAAAATCCATGCTCAGCATGTGATGCTTAGAGACCCTCAAAGAAAATTAGCTGAGATTAGTTGCCCTTGGAAGTTAATCAATTTGGATCATTTTGGGGCTGTATCAGATCTGTTCCTGCACCCAAGGTTTGTTAGTCAGATCCCACAGACCTCTTATGTCTAAGAATTTTGCATTTTTTCTTATTAATGTTTGCAGCGAAGTCAGGTAGAAGTAGTTAAAAAATATTCACTCTTTTTCTGTTTCCACTTACAGGATCTATGCACCACTGAAATTGCAGAACTTTTATTTACTTATGTACTTGTAAAACCATCATCTTTTCACATGAGATGAAACAAGTTAGAAAGTGATAATTAATAATGCAGGATGCATTGCTGAAGACACATCAGAAGTACTGCTCATGATTGTAAACCAAGCAGGGTGTTCTGGCTGCTTGGCCATGTGTCTGCAATATGTTTCATGTTAGCAGTAGCTCAGTGTTACAGTTTTGTTCAGTCTTTCTAAGCAAGTAGAGTAGTTTCTGGGTGAACACTTTGAGTCAGCTTTGATTTAATACAGCCACTTTGAAGCATGGTCAGTGTTGGATGAGTCAAATATCTCTTTTCCCTCCATGGCATCTTCTCTAGAACATCTTGGGAGCCCATGTCACAATGTTCAGTTGCCTTTCTCAGTCATTTACGTCGCTAAGGGGAAGGCACGGCCAGAGTTGTCAGCTCGCTACCTAATTCGTCATATGTTCCCTGAGCATGTGCTGGTCAGAAGCAACGTGTATGGTAGTCTTGATCGTGGCATGAGCCCCCTGGATTCCAATAAAATCAACGCTCTCAGAGGTAAGTAAGAAAATCTCTGTTAAATCTTAATATGGGGAAACTAGTAAGACTATTAACTTCATATCCTATGAACAAAGCATAGAGCTTCAGAAATTAGTCTGTGAAACTATTCTTACAGGCATTTCTGCAAGTAGTGGAACAAATTGAGAGGAAGTAGATGAAGTTCTATTTTAGTGGCTCAAGAAATTCTCCAGATCATGAACCTGGTTTGTATGGGAAAACTCAATTGTCTTGACATTGGCTTGAAAGGGCAATGCAGTGGGAGATGGAAGCAGTCCCTGAGGCTTCTGGAGGACATCAGAGATAATTTCTTAATACAGAGGCTGTGTAGATGAAGCAGAGGGCAGAGATGTCATGTACAGCAGGTTATGGCTCCCTTCACAAAACAGGTTGTTGTGTGATAATTAGTGGTGGCATTGCCTGTAGAGATTATGAAATCAAGCGCCCTGAGGTCCTGAGTAGAGTTAGAAGAGTGTGAGTATAGGCTCTCTAGCTTGGGAGAGCACACTTCGACATACTTGGGGAAAGTCATAGATGGGACCTTGTGAGAGGACAGCTCTGAATAGGAGAGAAGCTCAGGAAAGTTGACAGATCTCTAAGAATAGCCTTCTGCAAGCACACAAGAATCCATCTTGACACTAAGGAGAGCTGAGAGAGTTGTGGGGTGACAGGTTGGGCTAAGCAGGGAAATCATAACTGAGCTCTGGAGCAAAAAAGCCATATTTAGAGACTGGAAACAAGGGAAGCTTATGAACTGGAATTCAGCAGCTATTGTGTTGTAACCCATCAGGTAGCTGAACACCACACAGGTGCTTGCTCGCCTTCTTCCTCCCTGTCCTTTTCCCCTGCCTCACCCACTGGGATGGGGGAGAGAAATGGGGAAGAAGGACTGCATCTGAGGGAACAGTATTCATGCTAAATAAAATGGAGCTGTGACTCAACCTCTGGGGTGAAGTCTGGGCATAGCTTGAGGGACAGAGCATGCCAGAAACCAGTATGGCAAGCACTAGCCTGGGAAACTTTGACACTTAAATGTCTTCACTTTTATACACATATATAGACATGTTTTTTTCTTGACATTTTGAGTTTTAAAAGCATTCATAAGATCTAAGTGTGTCTTAGGGCTGCAAAAACACCATATAAGGCCACAGAGCAGATTAGAGAGAAATCCTGGGTGCTGTGGTTGCAGCCAGACTTTGTCACTTGGCTCTGGAGCCAGAGGACAGTCCTTGGCCCTGTTTGTTTTAACACAGCCTGACTGGATGGCAGCACCAGCTCCCTGAACATTACCCTGCAGAGCCGGAAAGGGCCCTGCATAGCCTGACGGTAATCCCCAAAATTGGTCAGTTTTGGTGAGAGAAAAAACACAACTTCAAAGGCTGTTTTGTGGACCATGTACAGAGACCAGGCTCTGTAGACTTTGTACAAATTCCAATTCTGTGCTGTTCCACTGAGGTCAAGTATTCTTGAATTTACTGCTGAAAATGGATGTAAAGAGAGCCTGGCTGCTGCTTCAGCCTACAGCTACGGTATCCTTTGTCAGTATAGTTTGTAACAGGAGCATCCTGAGGCACACTTACTCTCCCTTTCATTTCTCCTCCTGGAGCAGAGTGAACTGCAAGAGCACAAGCTTTTATCTCAGTTACTTTCTTCCTTCAGACCAAAGTTTTTCTGAAAAAATGGGTTTCCAGGTTTGTAACTACAAGTTAAAATATTAACTGTAAGTAATGATACTATATTAGATTTTTACTTGCTGGCATGTGGAAGAACAAAGCTGACACAATACCTAGTTCTACCTTTCCTTTCTACTATGAAGGTAAGTCTAGATGTTAATCAGAGAAGGAGAAGGAATATTGCCTTAATTTGAAATTACAGATGAGAATTTATTATTGGTGTTTATTTAAATCCTTTACAGGGTTACTTAGAGAAAACATGTAATTCAGCTTAGATGATGAGGACAATCACTCCTCAATAACTTAAAAAACTGATTTTAATTTTGGTTTTAAATTACTCATTTTACTCCTAAAAAGGGAGAAAGGTACCATAGTCCTACCCTTTTTATGTCACTGCGACCAAACTCAGCTGTTTATTTACTGATCTTATTTGCAGTACGGTAAGGAATGAGGTCTCACAGTTTTTCTGTCAGTGTTGTTCCTGTACATGTGTGTTATGCTGAATTGCTGTGATTAATTTTACTGAACACAGTTGTCAGAGATCCTCTGAAGGAGAGCTTGGTCCTGGCTAGTACTGGTCATTCTGAAATGGAGCCCAAGATTTCTCTTTGCTAGCTGACCACATTAGAAGCTGAAGTTACTCTGCACTTCAAAGGATCAAAACCACACACATGGTCACGTTTTCTTTTCATATTTTGTTTCAATACTTAGACCTTTTTTCACTCACTTTCAAATATAACTGGAAGGGGGAAAGCAGTATCTGCCCTGCTTTGCTTTTCAAGGCTTGTAATATGCCTAGCTGTCCTGGTTTGGTAGCATGCACTTCTTTTAGCTTAATTACATCCAGAAAGAGTATATAGCTTGCATAAATAATTGATAACTCACAATTACATACTTGTTTATTTTTAGACTTCCTTCAAGAGAATTTTCCATCCTTTGATCTAAATGAGAGTGGATTTGATTGGAAGGCATGCGTGGCTGCCATAAACAGCACAATCCGCAGTCTCAGGCATGAGCTTAAAAAGGCTACGTCTGGAATCCGCCGGAGAGCCTCGGCAGTGCCGCCCCTGAGTGCAGAGTCCCCCAGAGGATCCCACTTCCGTAAAGCCAGTGGAAAGCAACACTCTCATATGTCAGATTGAAGCTCTCTAGCATCTGTCTAAAATCTTAATTTAGCAGGTTTGTATTAATTTTGTGTAGAAGCCTGTAATACTGAGCTGTCCTATTCAACTGAGTTGTCAGCAGCACTAAATAGCATCACTTCATGAGACCAGAGTTTGCAGAAGGCTTGGGAGCCCTAACTCTTTGCATAAATAGCATTTGTGCTCCTCAGAAATTATTTTCACTGTTCCCTGCAGCATTTGCAATGTGCTCTCTCCTAAAAGCATCTTCTTATCATGATTCATTGAATCTGAAGGATTAATCTGATTAGAAAAGATGCACTGTGCATCAGTTCAGCAGAAGCAGATGGAAAAGAGGAGAAGAAAGAGTGGTCCTCCTTGGAGGATGAATCATAGCCAGCTAAATTATCTCATTATGTGTGAGGAATGAAATTTGCTTTGACAATTGGGTATCTTCAGCAAAAATATCAGAAAGGAAAAAAATATTTTTACTTGCATTATTTAACTTGTTATCTGGACTTGATGATCTTCAAGGTCTTTTCTAACCTTAATGATTGTGTGATCTCTCACATTTTTGCCTCCTATATCAGTGTTTTTTGTAGGGTAAGAGGCAGACAACAATATCAGTACAGCTGGTAATACTGCTTTGCTCTGAGTTAGCTCTACAAAAAGGACAAAATAAATCCAAAACAGTCCAATGGTTGGTTCTGTTTTTCTTAATGAAATTTAAGGAAAATACTTCTTCAGGATCCTGAACTCCACCATCTCTTACTGAACAACAGTACTTTGAAGTACTGAAGCTAAGGCTTCACATTTTCAACAAATTCCTTGTTGTAGATGGTATGAAGTCCAGAAAAGCACCTGTCAATAATAAATGTTCACACCCTTGCCTTTCCTTTCTGTCCACACAAGACTAAGATTTATTAGTGCACTAAGTTATACATCAGACAAACTAATTTTAGCAAACTAACTTCGAAAATCATTTGGATGTTGAACTTCTAAAAATAAAAAATAATTACCATATATATTCAATTTCACATCTTAGTTTAATTTGTAAGTTAGAATTCAACAACAGTAACTATACAGAAGTTAAAGGGGGTTTTTGTTGATTAGGATGTTATTTGGAGGTTTTTTGTTTTCAAAAAAAGGAAGTAGTCAATAGAATCATAAAATATGCTGATTTGTAAGGGACATATCAGGATCATCAAGTCCAACTCCTGACAGTGCATAGGATCATCTCCAAAAATAGGTGCCTGAGACCATTGTCCAAATACTTTTTGAACTCTGTCAGGCTTGGTGCTGTGACCACTTCCCTAGGAACCTGTGCTAGTGTCCAGCCGCCCTCTGGGTGAAGAACCTATCCTGATAATAGTTTCCAACCTAAACCTCCCCTGCCACAGCTTCAAGCCATTCCCTCAGGTACTGTCACTGGTCACAAGAATGAAGAGACCCTGCCCCACTTCTCTCCCCTGTGAGGATGTTGATGACCACAATGAGGTTTCCCCTCGGTCCCCTGCAGGCTGACAAAAACCAAGTGCCCTCAGCTGCTTCTCACACAGCTTCCCCTCCAGACCCTTCACCATCCTCATGGCTCTCCTCTGGATACCCTCTAATAGCTGAATGTCTTTCTTATATTGTGGTGCCTAAAACTGCCCCTGGCACTTGAGGTGAGGCCACCCCAGTGCAGAGCAGAGCAGGACAATCTCCTCCCTTACCTGGCTGGTGGTGCTGGGCCTGATGCAGCCCAGGACAGGGCTGATTCTCCTGGCTGACAGGGCACTTCGGGTTAAAATTCAACTTGACATCAACCAGGACCCCCAGGACCCTTTCCATTGCTGCTTTCCAGCTTCTCAAACCCCAGCTTATGCACACAGCTAGGGTTGCCCTGTTCCAGGCGCAGAATCCAGCACTTGCCCTTGTTGAACTCCATACAGTTGGTATAAACGATTCTGTTCCATGTTTTTCAGCATCAGTCACACAGTCCTCCTGGAGTCTGTACAGGCTGACTGCTGTGTGAAGTTGCCCTGCCACTTGAGTTTGGTCTGAGTGCAGTCTCAGAGGTACAGTTTCTTCCCAGAAGAAAGCTTCTTGGAAGACTGGCATAGGGAGTGGATTTTACCTCTGAGAGTTGTGGAAACTGTGGCTTCCAAAATAACACCTGTAGATAGCAGAATTAGATTTAAGTAAATCTGTCCTCCAAGACAAAGGTTTCATAGTTTATTTGTTAGCAATAGGATAAAACAGTGAATTTACTCATTCTTGCTTCAACTTCTGTTCATAACAGACAGACAGTCTTTCTTATACAGGGTATAGGACCAGCTTTTTAATTGCAACTTAGGATATGCAATGGCCTTATCAATTATGAAATCAGTTGGTAATTTAAGTTCCTCCTGCCACCTCCTTGCAGAAGTCCTCTGCAGGATTCAAGAAATGGACTGAATTTCTGAACTTTTCTTGGTAGAAATGTACTGCAAATTTGGTTGTTCTGGTGTACTATTAATAAATTCTTCTGTTACTTTCTATACAGTCCTTGTTGTAAATGGCAAGAACTTTGTTGTGTATAGGTATTACTAGTTCCAAATCTGAGGAAAAGCCAAAAATGCTTATATTTCTTTCAGTAGTTTTATGGGTTTTTTTTCACTGCCCTTCATGTATTTTAAGGGTAGAAGGATATATTTATTGAATGACGTCTGGCACTGAAATCTGTTAAGTGTGGTGCATACCTGTAGCTTCCATCTTGAAAAGAAAATTGGATAATTTAAGTAGAATTAGTTTTCTTGTTTCTGTCTCAAATGTATAAAATTTCGCTAACTTTTATAAAGTACAATTAAAGTATTTTGCTGTTAGGAATAAAGTATTTTACAAATAAAACTAGCACATAGCTCTTTGACTACATATGTGTATCTTAAGTATTTCTTGCGTCATGAATCTACAGTTGAAGTACAGTTTCATCTGAAAAGAGCCTTCTGATGTCCTTTGAAGAACCAGGGCTTTGAGAGATCTTCAGATTGAGTTGAGATGATTTTGAAATTTAGACTGCCTTAACAAAACCAAAGCAAACTCTTCTGGACTTCTCAGTTACAGCTGTGTGCAAGTTATCCAAAACAGAGCTTTCCACAAAAGGGTAGGAGTTGAGTAAAATTTGTAAAAAAATCCTTTAAAGTGATGCATTAGTAGAGGAGGCTTTGTTCATGCAGTGGAATCAGTTTCTGTGTTAGTTCTTTATCAAGGCATAGAAGAGGGCTGGCAGGAGGCCCTGAGCACTCAGTGCCAGGTGCTGTGGATCCCCGGATGCGACCTAAGGAATGAACAGTTGTTTGCTGCGCTTTGTGTCAGGGAGCAGCTGGGGCTGGGGCTGGGCACCTGCAGCACAGGCAGCCTGTGCCCCCTGCAGCAGTGTGGGCTGCTCCCTGCCCAGCAGGGGCCACTGCCAGGGCCACAGGGGCGAGTCAGGTCAGCAGCACCATGGGTGTGAGCATCGTGCAGGAGCCTGCCCTGGGCAGGACTGGGGACACGGCTGTCAGTGGGACACTCGGCTCCCCCTGCCCTGTGAGGGGCTGCAGGGGATGGGGCTGGCAGGGCCAGCCTGCAGAACAGCCCTGCAGGGGTGAGGGCCTGGGCCCAGGCACAGGGGTGGCCAAGAGGGACAGAGCCAGGCTGCCCAGGGCACCTGGGGAGTCTTGGTGCACCCTGCAGGCTCTGATCAGAACTTTCACTGGTTTCACAGCATGGAGCTAAACAACCCTTCTTACAGCTGTGTTCAGCTTTTATACCCAGAACTCGTTCCTTTTCAGCATAGTTGGTTTGGGTTTTTTGGTTGGTTGTTTTTTTTCTTTAGTATTTTCCCCCCAGCTTTCCACTTCAAATGGTGTAGTGACACAGATTGTCACACTACTCCATGAAAGTCATTTCAGCACTGGAAGCAGGGCTGTCCCTCGGGTGGATTGAAGGGCTATAGCACCACCTACCGTGAACCAAGTTTTTCTGAGAAACCAAAAACTTCCCTGACTGAAACGATCACTAAATATTCTGACACAATGATGCCATTCTGAGAATTTGATTGGTGCTCTCACTGGAAGAGGTTTCACTTCTACCTCTGCTTTATGCATTTAAGCTAAATCTTCCCATTTAAAGATGATCTTAAATTTGAGTTGGGATTGTTTTTTCAATAAGATGTTATTTTTTTGTAGTTGCTTTTAACATAATCTGTAAATCTTTAACACATGTGGCAGCTACTCACATACATTTTTGTATGAGTAATAAAATGTAGGAGTGGTGGAACACCGGGTTCAGCGTCCTCTTTTCTCACAGCCTTAGCAAATTCTTTGGCATTTAATCTGGTATTCTGAACTTTCCAAAGGTCTGCTTTGTAGGCCCCATTGCCTTGGTTTAACCCCAGCTGGCAACTAAGCCCCGTGCAGTTCACTCACCCTTATGGGGGAGGGGTGTCTGAAGGGTAAAAGTGAGGAAACTCATGGGTTGAGATAAATACAATTTAATAGGTAAAGCCAAACAAGGACTTCTCTGCTTCTCCATGGGCAGGCAGGTGTCCAGCCACATCCAGGAAAGCTCCATCCCATGTAAGGGTGCCTTGGGAAGACAAACGCTGTGATCTCTGAACATCCTCTCCTTCCTTCTTCTCCCGCAGCTCTCGAGGCTGAACATGATGCCATGTGGTGTGGGCTATTCCTGGGGTCAGCTGTCCTGCCTGTGTCCTCTCCCAGCTCCTTGTGCACCCCCAGCCCTCCCACTGCTGGGTTGGGGTGAGGAGCAGAAAATGTCTTGACTATTGTGCAAGTGCTTTCCGGCAATAGGGAAAATGTATCTGCATTATCAGCCCTGTTTCCAGCACAAATCCGAAACACAGCCCCATGCTGGCTCCTGTGAAGTGAATTAACTCTGCCCCAGCCAAAGGCAGCATACCATCAAGGAAGAGAATTTCAGAGCCATCAGAAGGCAGACAGAGGCCTGGGAAATTCCCAAACTCTTTGAAGCCACCACATATAGTCCAGAAGAATATCCTCCTGCCTGTACTGTCAAGTTTCAGAAGGTGATATAGCAATATTGTAGGCTACAATACATTTAAAAATATCACTGGGTGCCTTATTAGCGACAGCAAAAGTTCCATGTCAGTATAACAAACCAGCCCACATAAGGAGATTTGCAAATTATTGTTTAAGAGTCTGCAAGGAATGGATCAAAGTAAACTGGATTTTGACAGACATTTTTGTATTGCATCCTACTTTTGTTTGTGTTGCCCAGAGCATCAGTCTTCACTCAGATTTGACAAAAAAGTGTTCTGAAAGGGACTGGCTTAGTTTTCTGATCCACAAGGTAGTTCCTTTCCTTTACCAGCTCCACAGGCAGGAAATTTCAGAAGGAAAGGGAAAGCTGTTTAAGTTGACACTGAGTAGGGTGGGGGCAGAGAATAGATTCATATTTGACATTCCTGACTTGCGTACTGCTGTGCATGTTTTAATGCCTATAGGAAAGGAGTGAACAGAGCAGTCAGCTGCTTGGATATGAAGTAGGTAGGCACCTATTTTTTCACAATTGTCAAAGAAGGATGGAAATACTGAAGAAATTAATAGAAATGCATTGCTGACATGAGTGGTTTTATTTAAAGGTTTTTGCAGATAATTCATTAACTCTAAATTTAAAAAGAGAGAAAAAAACAGGATTGGATTTTTTAAAAGAAACATTAAAAAAAACCCAAACCAAAACAGATGCCACAAAACAACAACAAAAAAACCCAACAGCCTTCTGCCAGCTCATTTAAGAGGTCAAAAATAACACTTCAGTGTCCTATTTTCTGTTCCCCTTTTGCCACTGCTCTGAAGGAAGAATTCATTTTCTACTTTATGGTTATGACCTTCTTGGAAATAAATTCAGCCACTGAAAGCAGCAATTTATTAAAATATGTTTGTTTTCCACATATTGCAGAACACTTAAATTCCATTAAGATAGTTTTCCATACAGCATTTTTCCAACCTTGAATGTATTTGGATTTTAAGTGAGGAATATTTTTCTGCTATGTAGTCTCATGGAGGTGCTAGTTGAGCATATTTTGTCCACCCCTGTTTTGTTTTTAAGAATGTAGTTTTACAGAGCTCCACTTTTAGCATTCGTTGGTAGCAGAGATAAACAAAACAAAATGTTTGTAAAAATCTTTACTTTCCTCAGTGTAGCCAATGAGGTGGTTTTCCATGGAGAACTTTGTTTTGAATGTAATTTCTTTTTTTCTCTTGCAACTGTAAAAACAGTAAAATATAACTTTACTATGACAACACAGCAGAGATGGCATATTCTTTATAAAAGGGGAAAAAACCCTATCACATCCCAAGCAGTGATTTTTTTTCTTTTTTTGTGGCTTTTCTGAATTTTATTTTAAACATGCACTTGTCCTTAGATAGTCTTTTCTCAGAAACTGAGTAAAACCTAGTCTTGCTTAGTCTGAAAGCAGATCTAGTCAAACTTTTGCTTTGCTTTGCGTTTATTACATTTGAGTCTACGGCCCAGTTCTGCAAGCATCTGGATGTGTAAGTTCCATCTTATTTATTATTTCTCAAGGTAGGAAAGAAGAACATATGGAGATAGTTGAAAGAGAATGCAGGTATTTTTTAAAAAATTGTAACTCATCAAATGATCAAAAGGAATGAATGTAGGAAATGGGTGTTGTAGACATTCAGAAAAGCTCTGCAAATTTAGATGTTCCCTCATCCTTGGGGTTGCTGACCTCATCCCAATTAACACACTCCAGTTGGTCATTTGGGAGCTTGCACAAGGACCCTGGACTCTGAACAGCAGTGGCTGAAGTGCCTGCACAAATGCTCTTCTTCTGACTTCAGTGAAGCAGGAGGGAAGGCCAAGAGGAGTGACAATGCCTGAGGCTGTCACCAATCTCTGCTGAGAGAATGTGAGGGAAAGCACCAAGACAGGAAGTAGAAACATCTCCACAAAGTACTGAAGATTATATTTCTGGATTTTACAAAGCAGTTGGGATTCGCTGGTTGCTGCTGTGACCATGTTCTTAGATCCCTGTGACAGAGGCACCTAACAACATAGTTTCTACTGTCTGTCTAAATTTCTCCAAAGAAGGTCTATTCAATTAAATGTCAGGAAAATGACAGAGATCATTAACAAAAGCCACTGATTTGCAGAGTAGAGTGATGCTGAAACCATGACATGTAAGCTTTCTGGGCCAGGGGTCATTTTATTTCTGTTTCTATACACAATGTTTGGTGTAAAGGGGTTTCTGAGCACTTGTCTCGGTTTTGGAAGACAGGTGTCTGCTAGGGAGGGCAGGAGCCTCCCCTGGAATGAAAATGTAGACCCCCCTCGCTCCGAATTATTATAATTCTGAAATCAAGGGGCTCTCAGGCAGAGATCTGGGGATAGGAATAACAGTTCTTTACTAGTATTTATAACCAGGCAAACAAACAAACAATAACTACAGCATTAGCAAGAAAACAGAACCAGGGGCCCCGTGACAGCTTTCTCGGCTGAGATGGGATGGAGGAGAGGCTTTGTTTCACAAACCCCTCGGGCAGTCAGTCCCGGTGCTCCTGCAGGGCTCTGAGGAACACCCGGCTGGAACAGCAGGGATGAGCTGAGATCCTGGGCCGGTGGCTGAGGTGTATGAGCAGGGATGAGCTGAGATCCTGGGCCGGTGGCTGAGGTGTATCAGCAGCTCTGCAGCGGTGCCTGGCACTGCCACACGTCCCGGCAGGACAGGGGTTGCGAGGCCACCAACAAAGAGAGGAAAAGGAGAAGAAGCAGCAGCTCTGTCTGGGTGATGGCGAAATTCCCTTCTCCCCACCACAGCAGCTCCGCGCCCAAAAATGTTTTTCTCCGAAGCTGAAGAAGCCGCCAAACTGTCCCCACCCTCCTTTTTT